TGCGCCGTGTAGGACTGCGAAATAACATCACACGATCTCTCTCACAGCGAGGCGATGGAGGCGACAGGGGCGAGTGCGATGCGACTAGCGCGCGCGAGTTAGTTCGTTTGATCGCCGCACACCGTTGTCAAAAGCGCGCCAAATATGTTTTCAATAAAACATATTAACAGAAATGAATATAGTTGGGTAATAGGGATTTTAAATAAACAAGTAGTAAAGTGAAATGTAATTTGGTAATCTAAATATGCATTCTTTGTTATGCAATTTTAGAGAATGAACTTCAGTAATTCCGTTGTAATATTGGATAATTAGGTGTGCAAATCAGTATTTTTGTGAAGCGGTAAGTAATTTTGTTTTAGAATACTTATATATGTGGTTTTAGCTAGATTTTCGTTGTAAATAAAGAAAAAAAGTCAAGGTGATTTTAATTTATTTTAAACATTTTCTGATACTACATGTTTTGTTATCCAAGTAGTTAACTTGATATACAGTCATTTATTTGATATACAGGTAGATTATTAGTGGAGAAATGTTGTTTGCTTAAATTTTAAATAGAGGTGTCATTAAAAATTCCCCTTTTCTTTATATATATGCGGGTAGTTTGATTACCACGACTACTAATATGGCAGATCTTTATTATTTACCGGGTAACTGTGAGTTATTTTGTTTCTTGTATCGAATAATGTTATAAAAAGTACTTATTAACTATTAAATATGGCATGTGAGTTCATCATTGACAAGAATCAAAAAGGTAATGATACACTTTTCATTATGGGTTTCGCTATAATAAAATTAAAACTAACAAAACTGGGATCGCCAACTGGCGTTGTGTTAATAGAAAAAGTTGCAATACATCGATTACACTGGATGCAGATCGCCAAAATATTTTAAGAAGACCACAACACACTTGCCAACCTGACTTAATGAAAAATGAGATTCTTTTGAAGGTGAATAGGCTCAAACAAGAAGTGTGTGTTAATTTGGTACCAATTAAGCTCTTATTTGAAAAAGAGTTTGAAGACAACATCAGACAAAGTACATCAGCAAGCCAGTCATGTATTCGGAATTTTTTTGACAAGAAAGATTGCCTTTATAACGCAAGAAAAAGATTTTTAAATGCTGAAAAAACTGGATTTTAACAAATTAGAGGACGTTTTTGTGCCCACTGGAATATCCAAAAAAAAATCTGGTAATATTTCTGACAAAATTTTAGTCTTTTTATCAGTATTGTCCAGAAAAGCAATGAGCAAGTACAAAAAAGGGTATTATGCTGATGGTACTTTTAAGTGTGTGCCTCGACTATATTATCAGTTATTCTCGCTTTATTTAGATATAAATTCAGACGAAAACTCTACAAATATAATACCAGTTTTATACGCACTTTTACCCGATAAAACGCAACTCACGTATACCAGACTATTCACGCTAATTAGAGATGTTCTACATATAAAAATATCAAATTTTAAATGTGATTATGAAATCGCTTTTATTAACGCTGTAAGAGATGTGTTTCCAGAGGCAAATATTAGTGGATGTTATTTTCATTATCAAAAATTTAAAAAAAAAAAGGCCAAAGAGTTTAAACTTACTAAATCACGCGCTCAAAGGAAAATAATGGCATGGTCTCCACATGGTCTCCATTCTTCCGTTATTTCCACCTCGTCATATCCCAGAAGGATGGCATATAGTCTTAGAAGAAATTGAAGAGGGTTCTCTTCGGAGTATGGATCGATTTCAAGTATATTTTCAAAATCAATGGTACCCACGACTACATCCACGGCTTCTGAGTTGTGCCGGACAGCGCCATCGGACTACTAATACAGTGGAAGGGTGGCATCACCGCATGAATATCCTGATGTCAAAAAAACCAAGTCTGTTCCTTTTTGTTAGAAACTTCGTAAAAAAGCAAAGCATTTTGATTTAAAAATAAAAAGCCGCTTATCATTATTATTGAAATATGATGCCAAGAGTAATTAGTTTTTCATATCCTAGTTTAGTTGAGATTGTTATCTTTCCTTTGAAGTTTACCTAGATTTTGAGAATATAAAAATTTAATTTCTATGTGTTCTTTTTTTGGTTAGATACGTTCTTTTTGAATATTGAAACGTTGTATTTTGAATGGGGCGGGTGTATGGTAAATAAGAAAAGTATATTTAAATGTATTTTTAATTAATGGATTTAAAGGATCTGTTTCTACCGACATACACTAGTTGGCATGGTTATCGTTAGATCCTAAAAGCCAAAATTTAACCTCACGCTTGATAGATGAGGAAGCAAGCTTAGCTACTGAGACAACGAGTGATACTGCTCTGGTGACAATTAAAGGTAATGAGAAGCTTAGAAAATTTGGCGTGAATCAAAATGTTCATACAAATTATTCAACTTATCGATTTGTTTGCTATAATTGCAATAGAAGATTAGAAGATTTAATTATATAACAGTATATTAGTAATGACAATTTGGATGCAAAAAAACTTTTAATTTTGTTATTATTTTATTGTTATGCATGATACATACTTTATATTATATTTAATTTGATTTTATGATAATTATAGTTTAATGTAACTATTGTTGCAGTGCCCTTATCAGGGTTCATGTCAAGGTACATAAAAAAAAACAACATCTGTTTCACCACATGAAAGCAATAAATGAGTTTGAGTTTGAGTTTGAAGAGGAAACTTTGCCAAAGAGTGTAGAAAACCAAAAAGATCATATCATAAAAACCAGAAGTCAAATAACATGCTGGCACTTACCGCAGATCAAAAGTTTATCATATGTCCAGGAAGACGTTTGGATATTAGACAGCAGGGCGTCAGTTCACATGACATATAGACGGTTTTGTTTTTGAATTAGAAGAATACGATTGTTCTAAGTATGGAAATGTTAAGCGTGGAAATAAACAGAATATTACTGTACATAGAAAAGGTTCATCTTGCACTTCATGTAGTTGCTTGCTTTTTTAGAGCCAGCGCGCACTGGAATCTTCTCCGGCCAGTGTGCAGTAGTGGGGTGATTTTCTACGTTTTCACTTGACAAGAAATCAGTTCTTTCTTTGAGTCTATTGTCGAATCTATTTATTTTTATTATATTAGACGGTTTGATATTCTTTGGCAACTGTATAAGTGATTTTATTAGATCTTCTCTAAATGTCAGAAATTCGTATTGAGAAGAGTTGTTTTTGCAATATTTTTTTGTATATAAAGAAACTGTTCCATACGGCAAGGTTCAGTAAGTGAAAAAAGACTTTTTGTGCCATCTCAATGTCTTTCGTGGTGTTGAATAATAAGACACCATCTGATCTGCCCTGTCGATCCCTGACATAAATTTGTTATATGTTGTAACTTCTTCAGGCTTTAACAGTATTTGCCCACGTCTATTTGAAATTTCTGTAAGCTTTGGATGATTTAAAGTCGTCAACATGTGAACAGTTCTTTTGTCATGCCACTTAGACACGTAAACTTTATTTTTCTGACCCACACGTGTTCATTTTTCTTTATTTTTTTAGATATAAAATCCTTAGGATTATCTTTTCGATTTTTTCTTAGGGTTCCAGTAGTATGTGTCTTCAAGTCTAATAGTTTTTCAGACAGTGAAACCGAATTATAATAGTTGTCCATAAAACGCCAGTGGCCTTTTAATAAATAGGGCCTCATAAGTCTCATTACAATTTGTTCCGTTTTTTTTTCCTCTTTTGTCTATATCGTTGTCTTCCTTACCAGTGTACATTTGTATGTTCAAAACGTATCCATCAGATGTTGTTAATTCATAAAATTTTATACCATAGCGGGCTTTTTTCGATTTAATATATTGTCTAAAAGACAAACAACCCCTAAACAAAAGCATCGTTTCATCCAAAGAAAGTTCTTTAGTAGGTTTATAACAATCACAGAATGTTTTTGTCATAACATCAATAAACTTATTAATTTTTTCTTTACCTTTAGCACCTAAATGAGACACATTCAGGCTCCTCAATATCTGTTCAAATCTATGAGCGGACATTATAAAAGGAAATATTGGATGATAGTAAAGACTGTCTGAATATGTAAAAAGTTTAGATTTTTTCGGAACGTTAACTTGTCCCATCAGTAGACATAATCCTAAAAACTTTTTGATTTCGTCCGGATTGGTATCTTTATAACTGAACCGCCGTGAATTTCTGGTCATTGGTCTATTTGTGTTACATAATACTTTCCCATAATTATTTGTACTTGTAACAATATAGTCTATAACATGAGAAGGAAACAGTTTGTTAAATACATCTATGGTCGAAGTTGTGGCATTTATCAGAAACTGTGGACCTGTAGAATTATTATCAAATTCAAAATTTGGTACCTCTGCTGTAAAATCTTCCCAGTTTTCTACCGGTGAAGGAGTTCTATTCCTTGCCCGACGCCGTCTCTCAATCGGAACCGAACCCGTCACAAAAAAGTTGTGACGGGTTCGGTGCTTGGGTCAATTAATAAGGCTGATTAGCTTGAGTATAGATTTATTAATTATATAAGGGTAAATAAGAAACTGTAACAAACAAAAATTAAATTTAAAAAACAGTTCGTAAGTTACTTAACTAATACATACTTATCAAATAAACGAATACATACCCCTTGTCGGGCTTCTAGTTAAACTCTTGGATCGTCCAAAATACAGATTGCAATTTAGTACATATGTTATATAATTTGTATCACCATATCACATTATTTATCACAATAAATGAATTATTTTAAAATTACATAGTAAAATTTATACCATTAATATTGTATTGTATTATAATTTCATCTTGTGCATAGGAGAATTTCTTACGAACTGACATCCATAAAGAGTATAATTGATTAGTCAAAATTTTAAATTACGAAAGACGAATAATAAAATGAAATGATGTTGAATTTCAAAAACAAAAAGTTTGCATACTGAAACCTAGGAAAACAAACGGTGGCATGGCACACCGTTACATATGTATCTTGTTGTTCAAACTTTGCATATTTTGGAACAGTATTTTGAAATCTTTAGTTTTTGTCGCGAAAGTGATCGTTTGAATCTGAAGGAATCTGCATGTTACTGCTATCGCGAACATTGATATTAGTGTTAGTGCTGTTATTTGGAGTATTATTTTGACTGTATCGTGTACTCAAGCTAATGTTTATATTGTGCTGTGATTCTTCGGTAAGTAGTTGTGGTTTTCCGTTTATTATAAGTTTATTATTTTGTATAACTGCGTGGAGTCCTTTTTTACGTGCTTCGAGTAGACTGTTTCTTAATAGACGCTTTTCCTGAAGTGACCGTTCGCTAAGGTATTCACATATATATAAACCTGAATTTTTAAAATATTTAGCATTTCTTAATATATATATCTGACCATTCTTTTACTGATAAGCTCCATCAATATTGGCCTACGAGATCCTCTTTTACCAAGCCTTTTCAGGTCCTCTATATAGCCAGATATGTCAACATTCATTGTATTACAAAAAATTGTCTCAATCTTTTCATGCAAGTCATATCCATTTTCTTCATAATTTTCTCTTAGACCATAAATTACAATCTTTTTTTCATACTCACAGTTATAGCAATTTTCTTTATTTGTAGTTGTAGATTTTTCTTTATGAGTATACATTAGCTGTTCTAATTCTTGTTTTATTTTATTATTTTTTTCTTCAATCGATTGTATTTTTCTATTTAGTTCATCTATTTCTAATTTTAAATTTAATTGTTCAGATTTTATTATGTCAGTCGTTTTTGTAAAATTTTGTTTTAAATCTTCTGTTGCTGTGTATAATTCCTTCTTAATTATTTCTCTTAGGTAGTCCATTATATCTTGTTTATTTTCCTCAAATTTTCTATCCAACAAAATAGCTATCTTTTCTAAGGTGTCCTCTTGAAAGTCTTTTTTGTTAGGGTTGGGTTGAATGTTTGTTTCAGCTTCTGTACAAACAGTGTTGTTTTCCGTTATATTGAGGTCATCAATTGACATTGTAGTTTTGTTTAAGTTAGTTCGGGTCCTGACTGGTGTGTCGTCTTTTCTGTAACGTCTAGTTACGTTCTTGCAGGTATCACAGTGCCAATTTGCCAGGTCGTTATAAATCACATTCAAAATATCTATTTCTTTATTGCTCTCTGAAAAATCAGCACTAGCCACACAAAAATAACAGTTTTTCTTTCCAGATAAAAACATTTGGTTTTGCATTTGTGTATAGAATTTTTTTTTTGGTTCCCTATTTTTTATACAATTAATAAAATTTTTTTTGCTTGATGGACATTTAATTTCAGTAATGCCGTCCTCAAAAATACCATCAGGGGATCCGGCAATCACAGGGTACTTTTGGCTTAATAAAAGACCACACTTTCTTATTTTTTTGCAGTTTCAATTCTACTGCATCTCTAACTTGGTCTTCTAATTTTCTTCCCCTTTTCATTGCCTTCGTATCGGGAATTTTGCCACCCATAATCAGTGCTATGAGCGTTCCATCGATTGTCTTGCAGCGGCTTACTTCATATGCTCTTGATGCTGTTACTCTACCATATCTCATTTCAAACCATAGTCTACTACAACTCTGTTCCCTGGTTTCTTCCTCGATTTTTTTAATTGATTCATACAGTATCTCTACTTTGGATAAAAATGTGTCACAGTCTTCATCTTTAAACTTCAATACAAGGTTGTGCATCGATAGCATAGCAGAACTTGAAGAGCTTGAACTATATCTTAAAAAATCACATTCTTTCAGACTCCTTTTCCTTCCTTCTTCTAAAAATGTATTGCGAACAGCTGTATTTGACGGTAGAACAGGTTTGCCTTTTGACATTTCCTTGGCTGTAATGAATTTTAAAGTCGTGCCAATCCTGGACAATTTGGATTTCTTCCAATAACATTCAACTGAAGTACACGAAGGTTCTGCACTCCTGCGATGAACCCACATCGGGAAGGCTATTGCGTGCTTACAACCTCCTATTGCAGCAACGCATTCGTGACACTCCACTGAGCGAATTACCTCTTCTTCTTCATCTATCACCATTGTCACTGCGTATAGGTTTGCGTGAATTTTATGCTCTGGGCATATCTTACATTTAAGAGTGCAAATCTTCCCATCCCGTTTTAGCTGTACGTAACTAATGGCGTCGTCACCATATGATGCACGGGAAGACCTGAAACCAAAATTCGCTGCTAAATTTTTGCTTTTGGTAAACATCATAACCTAACCTAAAAACGTATTTCATTTCAACAAACACCCTGACCGTTGTTTTTTAAGGATAGATAAGATAATTTTAAATATAACAGCATAATCTGGTAATAAATAAAATAAATACTTACTTAAAAGTCTTAATATTATGAAATTCTGCTGAGCAGAAATCGGTGTTTGACGCAAAAAAAACTCCAAGCATCACGGCATCAATTTCAGGCAAATTTATACTATTCGCTTTAACAAATCCTTGCTCCATATTAAAAGTTAATAAAAGCACTGTTCTAAATATCTTACAAAAGAAACGTGTATTATAATTAGAAAATAACTAAAGAAATGAGCAAAAATATACGGAATCGAGCAGAATCACAACGATAAGAACTGTCAACAACAACTGTCATGAAGAAGTGACGTCATGCGTTTTGATTGGCGTTTGATGTCTCGTGATTTATGTATGTGATTTACCGATTTTATTTCAAGAAAATCTAATTTAATCCTGAATATTTTAATTATTTATGTTGATATAGACAATCTCCATATTTTTAGTTTATGGTCTATGTATAGGCAACAGTAGTTGCTAGCCTTCCTTTTTTTTTTCCTCTAAGATGTCGTAAGTTGTACTCGCACTATAATATAATAAAATAAAAGTTTTGACGTCCTACCACAAGTTTTTCATTGCGGTTAATGGACCCAGTTCGTAACATATATAAATTATTCGAAAGTGGTAAGGAATAATAATTTTTCACAGTGGATATAAAATACGTACACGCGGTAAAGGCGGAACAGAAGCTTTCCTACAACATAAAACCCTTTGCTGGAATAGACTTAGCGACATGGCAATTTCGAATCATTAAAATAATATCCGAACATGGATGCACAGATGCAATAACCAATTCAGATTTAACATCGAACCCAGCAAACAAAATATTGGAAGCAAAAGCATGTAATATAATTGTGAACGGAGTTGCAAACAGCCATCTTTATTTTATACAAGAAGAAAATACTGCATATCTTATGATGAAACGTTTAGAAGAAAATTTTATCAAGAAAAGTACAACTGGGAGAATATTTTTGCGAAGACAATTATCGGATATGAAATTTACCGAAAATACTCCACTGATGAAACATTTTGCAGATATGGAAAATATATTTTATCAATTACGAAATGCCGGCAGCCCTTTGTCTGAAGGAGAAAAAGTGAATTATATTTTGTTATCAATGCCCAAGAGTTATGATAGTGTTGTCACGGCCATAAAAATATACAAAATTTATCTACCAATTTTATAAAAGAAAGATTACTAGGAGAAGAAGAAAAAAGATAAGAAACCCACCAGCACAGATAATGCTTTTATGTGTAACAATAATTGGACAATTAATCATTACAACAAAAATCTAGTAAGAGGAAATTTCAGAGGAAGTCATCAGAACTTCAGGGGCAATCATGGAAGTCACTATCAGAGTAGAATATATAGAGGACACCCACCGATGCAGAACAACTTTAACCATAAACAGGGAAGACCATATAGAGGACATTTTATGCAGACTCCGAATCGCTTCAATAGTACATATAGCAGAAGTTATCATGGGTCAAATTTAGGAGGAAATCAAAAAGGAGAGTATAATAAGTCTTACAACTGTGAGTATGAACATAACAGTCAAGCCTTTTCTATTCATAATTAAAGTTACTCAGTTTTTAAACATAAGAATAATAATTTAGAGTTTTGTGATTTAGGATGTACTGATCATTCAATAAATTCATTAGACTATTTTTATGAATACTTCGAATTGAAAAAGCCTAAAAAATATCAGCTGCTAAGAATGGAATATCATTGGATGCAATAGGCATAGGTAATATTAAGGTTTTGTCAAGAATGAAAAATGAAATACATATTGTTACTATAAAAAATGTATATTATGTTCCAGAGTTAAGAAAAAATTTATTGTCTGTTTCTAAGATCGAGCAACATAAATGTAAAGTTATTTTCTCATATGGATGTGTTGAAATTTATAATAATAGAGGACAGTTAATAATCACAGGAAATAATAATGATGGTAACTCATTGTATTTGGTTAAGTTTCAGTGTAAAAAGTCAGAGTGTAACATTGTGGAACCAATGAGCGATCTGTGGCATAAACGTTATGGTCATTTAAGTACCAGCAGTCTTAATTTTTTATAAAATAAAAATATGGTAAATGGTATTGGTTTAAGTAAAGTAGACAATCAGCTGTGTGAAACTTGCATAATGGGTAAAATGACTAGACTTCCATTTAATAAAAAAGGTCATAGGGCATCAAAGCCACTACAGTTAGTACATAGTGATGTGTATGGCTCAATCACACCCACTACATGGGACGGTTGTAATTACATAGTATTTTTTATTGATGATTATACACATTTTGTTATTATATATGTCGCATCATCATTACGAAGATCGTTTGATTTGGTTTCTTTTATTGTAATTGCTAGTTACTCGATTACTTAATTACTCGATTGTAAAGAGAGCGTGATCATCGATACCCTTAATTTTATTAGAATGGTGACACTGACTTTGACAGTTCGTTAATAAAAAGCAAGTTGCCGCCATTTTGGCACACATTCTGTTTCCGATCGCCGAGGAGTAAAGACATCTGATGACATCACGCACATCTCGTTATATTTTCGTGTGAAAAATGATAAAATGGAACAAATCCACGTTGGTATACACGCCTGCAGTGTTATTTTAAAGATAGTCCTCCGATATGGACGATCTATTTGGGCTTGGTAATAGCTCCTTCGGACTACCCGCCGACATATATTTGATAAAACATAAATCTGACGTATATAAATTTTTTAAACATTATTATAAATATGTGACTAGACATTTTGACTGTGACTTACTAAAACTGAGATGTGACAATGGACGAGAATATGTTTCTAATGAATCATGAAGTGCTTGGATACAAAATGGGTTTTTATAAAGAAAGAAGTAAGTAATAATAAGATATATAAAGCAAGACTTGTAGTACGTGGTTTTCAACAAAAAGAGAAATTAGAAGATATTTATTCTCCAGTTTTGAAAATGCAAACATTAAGAACCATGTTATCGGTTGCAGTACAAAGAGATTATCATATAACTCAAATGGATGTCAAAGGGGCATTCCTTTGTGGCAATATAAATGAAGAGGTATACTTGAAAACCCCACTAGGCTACAAAATTGAAGATGGGTATGTATTAAAACTTACTAAATCTCTATACGGATTAAAAAAGTCTCCAAAATATTGGTATGAGTGTTTTACTCAGACTATGACTGATTTTGGCTTTAAGAGATCTGACAATGACTACTGTTTATATATAAAAGACGACTTATATGTATTATTATTTGTAGACGATCTTTTAATATTCTCTAAAAGTATAAATAATACAAATACAGTAAAAGAATTTTTATCAACAAAGTTTAGAATGAAAGATTTGGGAAGTAAAAATGTGTGTTATTTAGGCATTTCAATAACTAAACAGAAAGATAGCATTTTGATTGACCAGACTAAATATTTGGAAAAGATTCTTAAAAAGTTTGATATGTTTGACTGTAAAGCTGTAGATACACCATTAGATCAAAATTACAAATTAACAAACTTTGAAGTAGATTTAAAATATGAAAAACCATGTCGATCTCTCATTGGATCTTTAATTTATGCAACAGTAGGTACTAGACCTGATTTAGCTAACTCTGTATTTTACCTTAGTCGTTTTCAATCAACTCCAAATGAACATTTGTGGAAAGCAATAAAGAGGATTTTAAGATATGTCAAAGGTACTAATAATTATAAGATTAAATATGTAAAAGATAACACAAATACACCATTACTTGGTTTTGCTGATGCCAATTGGGCAGAAGATTATGATAGGAAATCCACATCTGGATATTTGTTTAAAGTTTTTAATAATGTAGTAGTTTGGAAATCTAAGAAGCAGGCTACTGTGGCATTAAGCACAACATAAGCAGAATATATCTCATTGTGTGAGGCATCTATAGAAGCATGTTTTTTAAAGAAATTATTGTTTGATTTAAATATAAAAATTAATGTAATTACATTGTATGAAGATAATCAAAGCACTATTAAGTCTATAAAAAATCCTGATCAAAAAAGATTGAAATATATGGATGTTAAATTTCAATTCATTAAAGAAAAAGTTGAATCCGGTACCATACATATTATATATATATATATATAAATACAAGGGAACAAATTGCCGATGGTTTGACAAAATCACTAAATAAGAATATGTTTAATTTGTTTGTAAGAAGTTTAAATTTAGTTTGTTAAGAATAAAGTTAAACAGTGCATAACTTTCTTTTATTGATTGTTTTATTATAAAAAATACAAAAATATATGTAGGGTAAACCAGAGAGTAATTGTCCACAGGCAGTGATTGCCCGTTTTTAGAAAAAAAAAAATCTGAATCAAAGGTTGTGTTCTCACTTGTTTCGAATATAATTTAGAAGGTTACTCTATGGTCAATTTATAGTAGATTTTAAAATTGACAAGTGGCAACACTGAAGAAAAAAAAACAGTAATGGCGGATTTTGTCAAGACGGGTGAACGTGTTACTCAAACAGGTAAGCATTTTAGCAATTTTCTTAAGGAATTACTTGCTTAGAGGTTCTTTTTTTTTGCATTTTATTTGATATTTCATTATTGGTGTATGGTTATGACGAAATCATAAGTGTTATGTTATGTTTTTAATGAAAATATTTGAAATCAGATTAGATTCAACGGTTTTTTAACGGTGGGCAATCGCTGTACGTATTTCGGCATATTTTTAGTTATTGCCCACCATAATTTTAGTGATTGCCATGGTTAATATCTATAGTTATTGCCCAGGGCAATCATTATCGGCAATTTTTTGATTAAGTAAGTAATGTTGCCGTCACATTTATTAGCTTAATGGCTTGCACACGCGCAATAATATTGTCAATATTTTTTTCACTATGTAATATTGTCAATATTTTTGCCACACACACGCAATTATATTGACAAAAAGCAGCATTACATATGAAGCAAAAAGAAAAAGAAAATCTGTTGAAAGTAAAAGAAGAGAAAAAGTTGATCAAAGAAAAGAAAAAGACTGAAAATGCAAACAAAAAGTCTAAAAAAAAAGTTAGTGAGACTGTTAAATCTAAGGAAATAGATACGAGTTTAGAGGATAATAGCCAACAACTGATTGAACCCCTTTGAGCAACAACTGATTGAACCTTTTGAGCAACAACTCGAACCGACACCAAAGAAGATAGAAAAAGAAATAGGCATAAAAAGTAAAGAAATGTCAGCAAATAAAAAGATAACTATTCTAAGTAATCTTTTAATACAACCTTCTTGTAGTAACATTCTGCCAAAGCCTACTTGTGGAGTTTGTCATTTCAACGTGATAAAAAATGAATTGACATGCAGTGCCTGTTCAAAAATCTTTCATGTGCGTTGCATCCCACCAAAACATAAGGAACATATACCAGACTACTCCGATTTACATTTATTTTTGTGTCATCGTTGTTTTGAAGTAGATGATTCTAATTGTGACGATTCTGACTCATCAACATCAGCGAAAGAAATGTTTGATATGGTTAATAAAGCCAAACGCAATTTATTTTAAGATTTTGTAGTAGATTTAAGTTTAACGTTTTGTTTTGATTGTTTTATTAAAGTTCAAAGTCTAATTTATCATTTTAAGGTACTGGGCAATTACTGTGCTGTGATGTGGGCAATTAGTGTAAGCAATGGGCAATAACTGTACATTTTTAGATAATTTTAAATTTGTTTAATTATTTTCTAAGCCATGTAAGTTTTGACTAAAAACCGTTAACACTTTGATGGAGATTTTATTTAGATATTAGAAAAAAATAATAAATGGTTGAAAGTTATAATACTTTTTTTTATTGTTTGAAGCCAATGTGTTTGAAGTCCTTAAGTGGGCAATAGCTATACGGTTTACCCTATGTTTTAATAAATAAAGCTTAATATGTATGTAGGTATATTGTTGTTTAACCTAGAAGTTTATATAAAATGTTTAAGGCATATTTCTTTTTACTTAAGAAGATTAGTTACTTGTATTACCAGTTCTGTTTAATGAGTAAGATATTGTTAATGATAACTGTTACATAATTAGATATATTTAGTTGTATTTAATAGTTCTGAGAAATAAGTAAAGTAATTTCAAAAATTAGTTTTAAGATATTATAAAGTTGTGTATTAACTTAAAAATATAAAGATTGTTTTTGAGTTTTTGAAACAATTATTTTTGAGACTTTAATTTGGTGGCAACTAGCCTATTGCAAGTTATGTTTTAAGAACATTTTATGCATTGCTTTCGTTTTTTAGTAACCGCTAACGTAATCATAAGCGTGAATACCCTTTAACATATAGAATGAATAATTAGAATGTATTAATTTAATTTAATGTTTTATTTATGTTGTTTTTAATTTGATTTTTAATTTTTTAATATGATTTTTAATTAATCTTCGCGACATTTAGATATGACGATGATTTAATGTATTTTAGATTATTGTAATGAATTTACTTATTATTATTATTTGTTTATATTTTTGATTTTAAAATTAATTGCATGTTTTAATTTTCAATTTTATTTATTTGTATAAACTAAATTTTGATTTGTGTATATGAGTGTTAATGCTTGTAATAAATGGAATTAATTAATTAACACGCTCTTTAGCTTAAGCTTATATTTATTGATAGATTGAGATGATAGACTGGCGTCCTTCTACCAGGACTTGCTGGTATCATAAAAAGTATCTGCTTCAAGGGGGAATTCAACCTTTTTGGAATATAATTCCGTCATTATATGTTATACAAAAACATTTACACCGTACGTTATTAGAAAGAATGTTAGCCAAGTGCTACCGAGTTTTTCTTTGGTGAACAATGAAACTAGAGACTAGAGAGATTAATTTTATAATGATAATATTTTCACATTTCAATCATGAAAGTCATTTGAACCGATAGTACACAGTCATCCTTATATTACAAAATTTAACGACTTTTTTTATGCATTTGAATAGGGATGACGACTGGGTAAAAAAAAAAGAAATTCTATTTAATCCGTCTGTGAGATAACAGAAAAATATTAGATACGTTTTGTTTTTTGTTTCAATTTAAACAAGAAATTGCTTAGATAAAAGACATTAAAATTGACTAGTGGGACCGCCGTAATTTATTTATTCCGAAAAAAGAAAAAAATATGTATTTATTTATTTTTTTATTTATTTAATTCTTCATGCACAAAAAAGTACATTGGCGGACTTAATGCCTTAGGCATTCTCTCCCAGTCAACCTTAGCGTGCTGTGGGGAAACCGATGGTGGCAAGGTGCACAATGGAACTAAAGAATAAAGATTTCTTTCCAAACAAGTAGTTACATAAAAACTTATAATACATAAAATCTATAACAAATACATATATATCAATATGCGTACATAATCTATATATACTATATACATACATATAATAAATATACGATAAAAGTATCAAATCGACGAATCCAGTTCTTTCGAAAAATAGCCACGTAACCTTTTCTTAAAAATTAATTTACTGGTGGACATTCGGATTTCTAAGGGGAGCTCATTCCATAGAAGGATAGCCTTAACAAAGAACGAAGAGTGAATGATATCGGATCTGTGAGATGGACAGTTGAGTAAACGATTGGATTGGGAACGAAGAGTTTTAGTATGGGAATTGCATAGATATTGGAAGTGAGATGTGAGATAAGTAGGAGCGTTAGGAGAGTCCAATAACGAAAACAAGGTGGTCAGAGCTCGCATATTCCTTCGCTGTCGTATTGGCATCCAGTTTAGAAGAATTCGCTTTGCAGAGACATGATCATATTTCCTAAGGTTGAAAATGAATCGAATGCAGTTGTTTTGAAGACGGTCAAGCTTGTTGAGGAGATCTGCATTCAGGTCGAGATAGCACACATCACCATAGTCAATGATAGGAAAAATTAAGGACTGCACAAGCATTGCCTTAATATTAGGTGGTAAAAAATTTTTTAGGCGGTAAAGGGCTCTTAAAATCCCCGTTACTTTTTGGCACACAGTACTGGTTTGAGCCTGCCAATTAAAATTAGAGTCGATATATAGCCCTAAATCTTTTACACTGCTGCTGAATGGTATTGAAGTGCCGTCATACATAATACATCTGTGATTATTAACGTTAATTGTCGCCATGATTCGTGACCCACCCAGCAGTATGGCTTGACATTTAGTGGGATTAACTGCAACGCCAAAATTAGATGACCATGTTTTGATCGCAACTAAATCACTATTTAACTGATCAATGGCGTTATCCAATTCATCAATATTTGATTCTTTAATATTATGTACGTCTTTAATATTTTTTAATAATCTACCTGAAGGACAAGCAAAAAAAAAATTTCGTCATCCTTATTGCTGTCGTAATCAAAGTTTAGAAGCGGAAGGTTGTGGTGTAGAAAAAATATTTTTTCTGCATTATTAGAAAGTCGTTTAGACCTGAAATGTTTTTTAATTGTCAATCACAATGAAACACGCTTTAACAAATAAAGGGTGTCTGATGTACAAAACTGAAATATTTAATACATCAGGCTTAAATCACTTTTAAATTATTTTTTATTAACAAGTAATAAAAGGTATTTTTCTTTTTATATTATTATTAAGTAAAAAATACCATGGCGATGAAAATAAAATATATTAACGTTTGAGGTCAGAGTACTGCGGTCAGAGGACCACAAATTCAATTTCACACAAACGACGTACTTCCAACAGGACTTACGCCAGACTATCAGCATGATAAAATTCGTCCACCCGAATAGAGCTCTCTAATAGGACATATCATCTGGCTATCTATCATTATGTTTATGTGTATTCATTTACGCATGTGTTCATGTGATTGTGATGGTTGCTGGTATTGGTTATTTTATATTTTCAGACTTCCTTTAAAAGGACTGATCCAGATATGGATGCTTCAACTTCGACTCCCAAAAAGAAGAGACAAAATAAGAATGTGTTCCTTTAACGATATTTAGATGATAAGTTACTCTTTCCTCAAACCCGCCCAAAATAATAAGTTTAAAGCACTTTCCACTTTGTGCCAAAAAGAATTTACCATATCTCACGGTGGAAAAAATGATATAGAAAAACACCAAAAATGCAATGAACACCAAAAAAGAGAAAAAAGTGCAAATGTATCTCTATCTTTAAAAACATTTTTAGAGAACGATCAAATGACCACACAAGAGGAGAAAGTGATAGCTGCGGAAGTTACAAAGGCGTACCACTCGGTCAAGCATAGTTTATCTTTCAATTCGCTTGAATGTGATATTAAATTGGATCATACTTTGTACACTGATTCCAAAATTGTCGAAAAACTGACACTTGGTCGAACTAAAGCCAGTGTCATTGCTCACAATGTTTTAGGGCCAGCGTCAACTCAAGAGACAGTCGAAACTTTGCAAAATAACACATTTTATAGTATTGCTACTGATGCCTCTAATCATGGTGCCACGAAAATGTTTCCGCTGATGGTTAGATTTTACAGCCCAACTACAAATTTAAAAACTTGTATACTTGACTTTTATGAAGATGCGAATGAGACTGCGTCAGACATTCATATGAATTTAGTAACACAGCTGAAAGAGCATAATATTGATATTAAATTCCTTACCAGTTACTGTGCAGATAACGCAAATGTGAATTTTGGGTGTCGCAGTTCTGTTTTCCAATTATTGCGTCATGATAATGATAACATTTTATCCGTGGGATGTCCTGCACACATCTTGCACAACAGTGTAAAGCATGGTCTGGGTAAGAGAGAATTTGATTTAGAGAATTTCATTTAGAGAATTTCATTCTGAAGCTCCATAATCATTTTTCATGTTATGCAAAACGAGTCGATGCTTTAAAAAACGTTTATGATATGCACGAAGCTGATTTTGCTCCAGTCGTGCGGCATGTTAGAACGCGATGGTTGTCACTTCTCCCTGCCGTAGAACGGGCTACTAAATCTTATAATATATTGAAAGATTACTTTATATCACTAGGAGAGGATGAATGTCCAACTGCTCTGTGGCAATTCTTTAATTCTGACGAAACAGAACCATGTCTAGCATTCTACCAAAATGCCCTGAAAATCTTACATGATGCAGTAATGTCTCTTGAAAATGAAACATTACTATGTTTTGAAGGCCACCAAATTGAAGATGGATTCATCGGATTCACGTGCACCAATTTAATAAAAAAAATTCCTGACGATAAAGCTACAAAAATAAAAAAAGACTGTTGTTCGTGGTATAAAAATGTCCTACATTACATTGAATCTAAATACGAACTCACAGAGAATAAATTTGACTTATTTAAACCATTTTCGCTACAGGACGACTCGTTCACCTACGCGTCAATACTAAACATTATTGAAATTTTTAAAATTTTAATAATTCTTTGCAATGGATCAGCTTTATGACGAAATATGTAAAGCACAAGAAACAGTACAGGCAGCAGTACAAAATAAAGAGAAGACACCACTTGAAAAATGGCACAATATTTTTAAAGACAATGGAGACTTTGTAAATCTTTTAAAATTATTTTCATTCATGGCATCAATACCGGTGTCAAAAGCGGCAACAGAAAGAGTTTTTTCTCGGCTAAATTTATTTGGTCTGAGAGACGAAATCGCTTGACGCTAGAGCATGTGAAAGCTGAACTCCAAATTAAAACAAACTTTAGCAGGAAATGCCATGAATTCTATAATTATGTTATAAAGTCAATCCTCAAGGCAGCAAAATCGAACCAAAAATATAATTTTAACAAAAAATAAGTTTTGTTAAATAATAAATGTTTTTTTTATTTTTATTTGTAAACTAGTCAATCAAGTCTGATTATTATCATGTAGAATTAGTTCATAATTTTTCAACGCAATAACTTTTTAGGCAATCCTTAAAATTAGTAAAATGTGTATTTTTAGTTTTTTTTTTCGGTTCAATAAGATTGTATTAGTATATAAGCAATTTGATACTTCTGTCCTTTCTTTGAAGGATACCATATATAATTATTTTTTAGTCAATCGAGATTGATTATTATTATTATGTAGAATTAGTTCACATTTTTTTAACGCAATAACTTTTTGTTAATTCTCAAAATTTCTAAAATGTGATATCAGTTTTTTCTGGGTCAGTGTGATTATATGAGTGCAGAAGCCGTTGTATACTTCTGTCCTTTCTTTCAAGGTCAAATGTACGTAAATTAATATTGTTTTAGTGTTAATCTTGTATTTATGATTATTTTGTGTTAAGTTTTATATTTAAACCTTTAATTATAAAAAAGTACTTGTTTTTTGTCTGTCCCGATTTCCAACCACAAATCCCGATTAATTTCACGTGCTGTCCCGATTAATAACAAATTGGACCTGGCAACATTACTTCTTATACAGCCATATATTACAAGTAGTCTGTGATGTTAACAGCGGTCAAGGCGATGTAGGGGAGAGTCGGATGTACCGTAGTATGAATCGTGCCACCTACAGGTTTCCTACTTAATTATAATATTTATTTGTGCTGGCAATGTTAAAATATGTGTTACTAGCGCTATAAGTCGCATGACATATTGTAATGGCGTCCGCTGGTTATTTCATGCTCCAGCGAAAATAAACTGTTTTGGTTGTGTATGATCAAAATTTTACTGTGAATATCTAAGGGTCTGTCTACCATATATGGTGAGTGAAGATTTTAATTGTTTCAATGTGTCTCTATCATGTTAGTTTGTTTCACGATTATAGTGTCTTCACTTCTTTCTATTTCCATTCCTAAAAATCTTTTCATTTCTCCTACGTTCTTCGCATTAAACTTCTTTTCCAATTCTTTTATAATATCTTTTCCATTTCCAATTATTAAATTGTCATAAATTAACATCCAGCAGTCATCCTTACATATAGTACATACAATAATCATATTCTGAACATCGAAATCTGTTCTTCTTTGCAAATTCATCTATTGTTCCACATTTTTTTCAACATTTAGGAGATTCCGTTAAACCGTAAAGTACTCGCTTTAATTTTAATACTGTTTAAGAATTTGAATTCTTCACCTTTAATCCATGTGGCACTTTAATGTATACTTAGGACTTCAATTTTCCGTTAAAAATGCTGTGGGAATATCTAGTTGATTAATTTTTAAATCTTCTTGAATAGCTTTAGATATAGACATCCTAACTGTATAATGTCTAGCGACCGGTGCATAGTTACTATCAAAAATATCTTCTTTCTTCTGTTGAAAGCCTCTGACAACTAATCTTGCTTTCTTAGTCCCTTCTTCTTTGTCTTTAAAAATCCATTTTGTATCTATCGCTTTCTTTCCTATAGGTAATTCCTTTTCTGCCCGTGTGCAAAATTTTTGCAACGCTTGTAATTCTTCATGAATAGCTTGTATCCACTCTGTATTATTCACTGCTTCTCCAAATGAGTTTGGTTGTAGCACTCAAAAATATGACAATATTTGATGTATAATCTTCTAAACGGGCTGGACGATTTACTGTTCTGCATAATCTTGTCTTCTTTTCTTGTTCAATATAACTATAATTACTCTCTCTATTTAAGCTGTCTTCTACTTCTTCTTGAATATTTTGTTATCTATATTCTCAGGTTCTTTGCTTCTTATTTATGTATTTTTGGTTTCTGTACTTTATAGTCTATCTCTTCTTGACTAAGCTGATCTTTACTTTCATCGCCTTCTTTATATTGAAAATCTCTTTCATCAAACATTTCTTGAAACTATTATTGTGATAGTCCGGGTTCCATAATCTATAACCAACTGTATTGTAACCAACCATTCTTGACGGTCTTGCTCTTTTGCTTAACTTGTCCTTTTTCAGTATTACAGTTGTCCACGCTTTAGATCCAAATACTCTGTCTTGATAAATCATTATGTCCGTTCTTCATGAAGCACGGAGTATTAGTTTATTTTTATTTTATTACGTATTAGAGTTCAAGCGTTCAGCGACTCCGTTTTGCTGAGGCGCATATGGTAGAGTATATAATTATATTCCATATTTATCCCTTTCTTGTTACAAAAATTCTTCAGTCAGTTTACTGTATACTCTGCACCATTATCACATCTTATTCTTTGTTCTTTATTTCCCGCTTCATTTTCTAATATTATTAAGTAGTTAATAAGTTTTTCAGTCGCTTCTGATTTATGTATTAATGGATATATTACACAGAAATGGGAATAATCATCAATTACAGTCGTAAAATATTTCTCAACATTTAGTCCGTAGTTCTTGACTGGTCCTGCAATGTCTGTATGCAACATCTCTGCTATCTTCGATTTTGGTCTTGGTGTCTGTTTAAATGGTGCTCTGGTAGCTTTTCCTCCTATACATGGAGTGCAAAAAAACAAATGTAATATTATAATTATCAGTTAGGCCGAGCATGTATTCGCTAGTAAGAAATCCAACAACTGCTTTATCTTCTAGGGATGTTTCTTGTACTTGACCATGATAACCTCGACCTCTTCCAGGGTTCCGTCCAGCTCTGCGACCTCGGCCACCAGCTCTTCCACAGCTCCTTCCCCGATATTCCTCTCGTTCATTCTTTTTCTTATTACACTCATAACTCTTGTGCCCTGGCTTACCGCAGGTAAAACATGTGATGAATGCATTCTCTTGCTCGGTGCTGTCCTTGTTTGATTTAATGTTTGTTTCTGCATCTAGTAATCTTGCTTTAACAAAATCAAATGTTAGTCGCTTTTCAGTAGCCATTGTCTCTATGGATGTAATTACCGGATCATATTCCTTGGGCAGCGATGACCGCAGATAACATATTTTGTCTTCATCATCAATTTTGACTTCTATTGCCTGGATATCGTTGACAATCGACGAGAACTTGATGGGGTAGGTTTCTAAAGGCTCGTTGCACTTCAGTGTAATTAATTTTCTTTTCAAGTAAATTCTGTTGTACAGATATTCTGTCTTTGATAATTTCAATGTAGCGATCGGAAATACTTTGAGCAATCAAAGACTTCGCCCTCTAATCATCTTTGATGAATTCAGTAACTTTTTCATTTTCTTTGTCTGTATCTTGTAAAACATACGCCACTTGTTTTTCTTCTAATAACAATTTCAGACGGAATTGCCATGTGCTGAAGTTAAGTTTCACATTTAACAACGGGAACAATGAGATCGACTAGACCGCAGCCCCCGTTGACATACTTCCTTGATTTTTCGACATCTTTTTGCATCGATGTGGATCGCAACCCAATTGACAACAATTTATTCTTTTATTTGTAATAACCACGCTTTGCTACCATATTGAGATAAAAACATAATGTATTTCAGATGTGGTTTATTAGTAGAAATAAACATTTAGTTACAATTAGAAAGATGTCGTCTTTTCTTAATTTCTCTCAAGAAGTCTCTATAGGAAAAAATAGAGTATCTATATATTTTTAGAGTATTGTTACAGTCACAGAGTAACAAAATGACAGATAGTGAGGCGCCTGATATCTCAATTCTCAACAAGATGAACGTGGTTTTTTTACTGTGCAGAAGAAACCGCCAAAATTATAGGATTAAAAAGAAAAAAACAAATAGGTACTATTACAAGTGGAGAAAGAGGTGTCAATACAACTGCAGTCTGTTGTGCCAGTGTAAGTAGACAATTTATACCGCTGAATTAACGAATGGTGCACCTTCTGGAAGTCCAGTAACAGTTTCAGAGAGTGGCTATATAAATACTTAACCATTCATGCATCATCATGAAGAGTATCGTTTCTAATTATTTGTCCAGCTTCATTATCATATACTATAATACTTTTCACAATAAATATACTTAAAAAAAGTTATTAATTTA